ACCGGTAGTGTGATAATTATAAAGAAAAAATAATAAAAAAAATAAAGTAAATTACGTCGTTAGGAGCATTGCAAAGATGCTTAGTGAGAAAAAATTAAATAAATAACGACATAAGTGCAAAATAATGAAAACAAATCGTTATATGTGTCAATGGCACAGGATGAAATCTGATGACAAAAGCCACAAATGAACTAAAGACTAAGAAAAGATGGTGAGTAAACAAAAATTTGTAGTGAAGTTAATGGCACTGAAGCAGCTTAAAATTTATAAAAACAGTAAGAAGTAAAAGACTGTAACTAAAAAGGTAGAACTTGCTATATAAGAGCGTAATTTTGGAGACAACTTTCATTTTTGAGACAGAATTTTATCCGCAGAGATTTTTGGTTTTTAATGAGCTCGCTTTGATTTCGAATCAAAACCGATTATCTTTGAGCGTTACTTTATTTGATCTTCTTCAAGCGCAAATTTTCAATTATTTGAACATTTTCAGGTTTTAGAAGTGTTTTCTTAGGTCAAGGTGCCTTCGCCGATTGAAAAATGCTGGAAACAACAAAATACGTTAATTTCGGCTGTACAAACGCTCTTATACCCTTACTGTGCATTAATTATAGCATAAGAGAGTATAAAAAGATCTTTATCTTGATTTTAAGCGATCAGTTTGTATGACTGCTACTGTACAAGTATATATAGCTGAATATGCTATATCGATACGATCTGAACAGTGTGTTTTCGAAGTAATACATTTGTTGAGCTTATAGATGAATGTGAGAAATGGCGCCACCAATCGGTGAGAGACATTTTTTTAAACAAATATTCTCGCAATATCCAATGCGTCTGTCGAGTTAAGGCCATTATTGCCCAACAATCTTTTATTTTAATATAATTTTGAGGGCCAACATCATTTTATAAACAATATAAAAGATATACAACGGACTGAAAATCAGATATATAATATATAATTCAAAAACTTTTGTACGATACTTTTAAAATATATTTATTTACATATATGTATTTACATTCCTTAGAACCTTAAAACCCCGCCACAACGTCATGCAGGGGGCCTAGCAATAAAAATCGAACAACAAACAACTTGACAGCGCGATTTCGCACATTTGAAGGACGGAATTTCGTAGCGTTAGACATGACAGTCGCCAAAAAAAACATCACAAAAAATAGCACAACATTGTTGTTGTTGTAACAAAAACTACAATTAAACAATTAAATGTAGATGAGCTAAGCGAAAATGAGAAAAAAGCTGGCAGTCGGCAGTTAATTGGCTGTGCCAGCGCGCGTTTGCCCACACAAACAGACAATAAATAGTGAAATATAGTTAAAAATGTGCATATGTGTGCGCAATAATTGCCATGCATGCCTCACCAAACACCCTGCACTGCGCGCTCAGTCAGCGATGACGCTACGCGCTTTGCCAGTCAGCTGCTGAACGCCGCCACATGTGTGTGGAGATTGCACCACCAACAACGACGCGCTGCACCATCGCGCTCCCGTAAATGTACATATGTATATAAAAAATGAAAATAAATAGAAAAAGCTTATAAAACAACAACACAAACACAATGGTGGCCACCACCGCGACTGTCACAGTCACCGTCGCCGACGATTAGGTACGCCTCGCCTCACTTCGATCTTGTCAAACTGGTATTTCACACTCGCCGCAGCACGACAGTATGACGAAAATAGCTGAAAAGCCAAACAAACGAGCAAAACAAATGTGAACCAAAGAGTTGGTAAAAATAAAATGTATTGATGCGCCGAAATCAGACAATCGAAAGGCATATAATTGTATGTGCCTGTATATATGTATGCATATGTGTGTAAATGTGCTCGGCGTTGACAATAAAAAGCTTCACAGTGTCATTTGAAATGAAATTGAAATAAGAAATTTACACTCAATAACACCAACAACACAATGGAATGGAGTAGAGCGTGTTGATAATGAGAAAATCACAATGTTCATTTATGTCGACGGTGCTAAAACTGACAACAAAAAAAAAAAAACAATTTAAAAAAAGTAAAAATTAAAAAAAATTTAAACAAAAAAATTGAATTTAAAAAAATTTTTGATTGAAAAAGAAAAATTGAAATAAAAAAATTTTAAATCGAAAAACTTAATTAAAATTAACAAAATAAATATTATAAAAGAAATGTCGAAGTGAATTACTGTGATCATGCCATTCAACATACCAATCGGATCAGTGCTTGGTATGCCATGCCAAATATTTATTTTTATTTGACGGCTACAGATACTCTGGCACAGCTGGTTCGAAATAGACACACACACACACACATACTTGAACGCTGTATAAATATAGTTTGATGTGAGCAGTTTGGTAAAAATAAAGTTCTGTTGCAGGTGAAGTGTGGGGTACAAGTGGAAGAGGCACTTAACTGGTGGCAAATTTTTGTTTTGAGCTTTCAGACTTAAAATAAGCTGAGTGATCTTTAAATCGGGCGCTACAGCCGATAGTCTAATGAGACTTTATGAAACCTGTTTTTGTACACTTTGGGACTTTGCCGATCGTAAACAGAGGATAGAGCGAATCAATGCGATCTATTAATTTATTTGCGGTATTTTAAAAAAAGTTTAGTTATAAGCGAAAGTGTTGATTAGTAAGGATTGATTTGTTTGGTCGCTGAAGAGAAAATATGAAATTTTGAGTTAGTAGACCCAGCAAGCTTGGGTGTATCTAGAGTTTTAAACTATATTAGAAGTTAAGTGAGTGAATTCAATTATATCGTAAAAAATATAAGATAACAAATATATGTATGTACATATGTATATATAAATTCAAAAATTAAAATTTTGACAGATGGAAAGAAGGTATCAAAAGTTAAAAAAAAATTTCGGGAAACTGTCTAATTTCTATAAGAAAGAGTAGAGTGATCCATGGATTGGTTTCCAAAGCAAAAAGAAAAAATTGTTAAGAGAAAACCTTTATTTTTTTGGATCTGAATTCATAATCTTTGTTAAATACCGTCGGTTATTAGATATTCAATTGATTGAAATAATAATAAATCTTTTTTTGAAATATTCAACTGAAATTTTACACACGTCCTTCTATCTGCTGCTCATCAATAGAAACCGCCATTATCGGACTATAGCCTATAGCTGTCATATAAACTGAAATTAAATTCTTGTATAGAAAACTTTTTTATTTGACAAGATATATTCATGACATTTGGCATGAATTTTTCCCTAAGGAAAGGGTACAATATTCGAAGGAATTGTTCAGATCGGACCACTATAGAGTATATCTGCCAGACGTACAGATTGGTCAAAAATAAGTTCTTATATGGAAAACTCGTATCCAAGGCAGCGCTATAATCTCCAAATATATTGTTTCGATCGGATCACTATAGCATATTGCTGCCAAACAAACTGACCAATCAAAATCAAGATAAAGTTTTATTATACTTTTTTATGCTATAAGATATGCACTTGTAAAGGGTATTATAAGTAGTTTCAGTGCAGCCGAAGTTTCGTTTTGGACTCACTTTTCCAGCTCACATATCATATATATACATATGTATAGGCACTTAAGTACGTCAATAGGTCACTAGCCGCAGTGTATGTTTTGAGTCAGCGCTGCGCTCAATGCTTAAACAGCGTGTATTTATTTATTTATAAGGGTATTCCTCAAAAATTTTACAATTGCTGTTTACAAAAAATACAAACACACACACATATACATATATTCATATACAAATGCACATATGTACATAGATACAGGCATGTGAATTTAAAAATGCCGTCAAATAAATATGGTACATATACATATACATATGTTTGTATGTACACATATAGAAATGCAGCAGACAAAAATTACGAAAAGATAAACAACAACAACACAGTCACAAGCAGTGACTTAAAGCATTGTGGGTCAGAGCAAACAAAAAACAAATGGTAAATTTAAAAAATTAAAAAAAAGAGCGTAGTATATCTATTTACATATGTGCGTTTGTATGTACATATATTCACAAATGCATACACATGTCTGTATGTACGTTTCCATTCTCGCTTGTATTAGTTTCTTAATAAAAATGACCTTTGCATGTTAATTGCTAGCATGTGTGGTTGCTGCTCTTGTTTTTGTTGTTGTGTTTGTTTTTCTATACATATGCATGTATGTATGTGCGTGCGCTACAGACATCGCACGAATTTAATATGTATGCTTTCAATTTTGATTGCTGTTGTTGTTGCTAGTAGTATGGTTGTTATTGTTTTATATTATTTTTATACCCTGAACAGGGTATATTAAGTTTGCCGCGAAGTTTGTAGCACCCAAAAGGAAATGTCGGAGACCCTATAAAATATATGCATAAATGATCAGCATGATGAGCTGAGTTGATTTAGCCATGTCCGTCTAGCTGTCGGTCTGTCTGTATATACACGAACTAGTCCCTAAGTTTTTAAGTTATCGATCTGAAATTTCGCAACTGTCCTTTTCTCACTAAGAAGCTGCTCATTTGTTGGAACGACCGATATCGGAGCACTATAGCATATAGCTGCTTTACAAACTGAACGAACGGAATCAAGTTCTGTGAAGGGTATTATAGCTTCTGTGCAACCGAAGTTAAAGTTTTTTCTTGTTTTTTTTTTTATTACAAATGTTGCTGCACATGTGTTGCTGCTTTTTATCAGTCAGTCTGAGCGTTTATTTGGCGTCCCGTATCGGTTGGTCGCCGTGTCTGCACACACACATATACATATGCATATCAATGTTTGAGTATGAATGTATGTACATACATATGTAAGTCTAACTGTCTGTTGGACTATCTAGTCGCTGTCTGGGGTATTCGCTCCGATTTATTTCGAGTTTCCACGTTTTTAGCTTCGCTTTTGGTTAAGACATTTGAAACAGTAAATGTTTATGTGTGTGTCTTAAGATACTTTTGTTGTTAATATTGTTATTGTTGTTGCTATCGCTTTAATTTATAATTATGTACATAAGTATGTAAGTATGTGTCTAAATGCTACTTACGCAGTGTTGCAGCGTGCTGAATCGCCTGCCTTTACTTTGTTGTAATGCTATTTTAGTACTTTTTTGTTGTTGTTTTTGTTTGCGCTGCAATTTTCTCTTGCCAATGCAGGCTTTTTGAGCGGCGTTGCGCTTGATTTAATCGTTCGCGCTGTCAACGTGTAGTAACTTATATTGTTTCTCTTATTGTTGTTATTTTCTTAATGTTGTTGTTGTTGTTGCCGCGTAGCGACGTGACGTATGCAATTTGCAGTTATTAAGCGCGCTTGCTTGTCGTTGCCTCTAGACTTGTTGAACGATCTTGCCAAGCTACTGCTGCTGCTGGCTCGCCTTGCCTGCGTTGCCTGACTATTGCTGGCACAACAACACCAAGTTGCCTTGTCTCGTACAACGGTAAGTGCCGCGTCGGCGACTACGGCTGCGTCGTTCGACAGACATCCATAGACATTGGCAGGTATGCTGGCGCCGTCTTTAATGCCACGAATATTTCATGCTGTTTACCAATGAGACTAGCTAAACAACCCGACAAATACAACAACAACAGCAATGACATGCAACTATTTAGTTCAACTCAACTTGTCTTAGGTGTGCGCTGCTGCTGTTGTTGTTGCGGCTTCCTTTTCAGGTTCTCGGTGATCTTTTGTCGCCTGTTGGCACTCAGCTCCATACATACATATGCATGTGTGTGTTTGTATCTTCTAAATACTTTATTTTTATTATTAGTAGCTACGGCATGCACGTACGGCGCTTGCTTATTAATGACTTTTCTGCTGTTGTTGTAATTCGTTTTGTTGTTGTTGCATTTTGCACTCGTCTGTTGCTTCCTGGAGGCGCGCTGCTGTTGCTCTTATTGCTTGCCGCTGTGCTGTGTACTTGAACGTCGGACAATGTGTCGCCGCTGCTGACGTCGTCGTCGTACTCGTCACTGATCTTTTGGTGTAACTCAAGTGTCTTCGTTTACACACACACACGAGCACGAACGCACGTAGTTACTGAAGTGCAATGTGTTGGTAGGGTATTCCTCGACCTTTTTCTCAAGTATCTATATGATCACTTTGGTTTTTGTTGTTTTTATAAACGTTCTGTTATTTTTCGTCTCGCTTACTTTTGCTTCGACGGCTTTGCCTTTATTTGCTTGAACTCTCACAGCGAAAATTCGTGGAATTCAATTAAACACGGCGACACAGTTATGAGCCGTCTTCGAGACACTCTTGTTTTGATGAGTAACGAATTTTGACTGTCTAATTCACAATTTTTGAGGATTTCGCATGAAAACGAGGATCACTGGCGAAACGAGGATCACATGCAGATTATTTTAACTATTGGTATATATATAACACTTGTTTATTATTGGCTAAGTCATTTGTGTTAATTGCAATTTGTAAGACTTTTATTTGAAAATCAACTCAAAATCACTTGGCAGCTGATCGTGTTGCTCGATCGTGTCACTCAACACATGCTGCACACACACAGCTTTATATACCATATACACTTTTTGCACTATTTTAATGCTTTGCGCGCTACAAAATTGCACTTCAAAGCATCGGCTGTTGATTTATGAATACTAAAATTTATAAAAGAAAATTATTTTTTTAAAATTTTTCACATTTAGCGCACGTCGCGAATTTTCATATATATATTTTTTTCTTTTGTTACATTGAGCGCGAAGTATTTACATTTTTCTACCAATTAAGCGCTTTTTCTTGCAGAAATTCAACAAAAATTAATTTTTCACAGAATTTTTAGTTTCAACAAGCGATCTGCACGCGCGACCACTACACTTATCATCGCCACTAAGCTAACATTACAAAAGTAATACACATTTCCTGCATAGCCGATAAAATTTGAAAATCACTAGGGTTTATGGTCGCCAATTAACGCGAACGCGCAATTTTCCTAAGGATTTTTTAAATGCATGCACACGATCGAACGATCGTACGATAGATCGCTAACTAGCTATAGTTTGTATCTAAATATTTTCGCTTAGCATACGGAATCGCGCGATCTTAACGTATGCAACGTTACGCTTAAACTGAAATATTTTCTATTTGATTCACACAACACACAGCCAATAATAATAATACATGCGCCGTAGTGAACGCTGAACGTCGGCGTCGATGTTGACGACAACAGCGCTGTGCGGCAAGTGTGCTAGTACACGGCGTCTACCAACAAACATGTGTATGCCATATGAGATCTCAGCAGCAACATTTATGCCGCCAACGTTGCTGTTGACGTCAACTGCAAGCGCGCTAACAACACACCAGTGGACCTGACAGTGCGTCGTCGTCTCATTCGTGGTCGTGGTCGTCAACTATGTTGATAACAATAACAACACATGTGTAACAAGATGCTGAATAACAGCTACGCTCAGCGTAATAAAACTAGAAAAAGCAGACAATTACAAAAAAAAAAAAACAAAAAGAAACGGAAAGAAAAGAAGAAAACTATGAGCGCTTAAGTGCAAAACAACAACAAAGGCAAACAAGTCTGACTTTATGGTAGCGCTGGTGTGACTGGTGAGTGTGTGGCCCACAGCCGCAACGACTGAAATCCGCACAGTGGAGACAATAACCCAAAGCAAACAGAAAAAAAAACAGAAAAAAAAAAAATGAAAAAGACAACTACAAACAGTTTTGACTCCGACGAACATACGGCAAGCAGACACAACGACAGCCCTGCGGACAGACGTCGCGGCATGATCGTTGAGCGGGCGGGTTAATTGAACGCGGCGACAGAGACGCGGGGCGGTCAGACGCGCCAGCCAGTTAGACTGACTGATAAACGGTGTGTGTGTGCTCGGGTGTCGTGTTGTTTTTGTTTTTGTTGCAGTGTCTCCAACCAAACACAGACACTTTTTAGCTACTATGTACTGGCTCAATTACTACTTCTTCTCCGACTTTGGCAGGGTATTCTTCACACTGTACGCTTGCAATCACCACCACTTGACTTGTGTGACGCTAGTGTCGCCAGTCTGTCGCGGTCGACGTCGATCTCTGACTTTTCGATAACTTTTGTTCTTTTGCTTAGCTGCGCAATGCAACAGATGATCGTCGTTCGTTCGCATTGTGGTTGACTTGTACCCTCGTTTTTATTGCATGTTTTGTTTTTTTGTTTATGGCTGCCTGTTCTGCTTCTTTTTTACTGAGAATGCACACGCAAAATCAGGCGATCGCGCTGCGTGTACTTATGTCGTCACAAGCAATCGCGATGAGTTCTTGAGTTTTTTTCGCTGCTGTTTATTTTTTGTTGATCTTCGGTTCAATTGCACCTGTGTGCGCGCAAAAAACTTACAAATAAATTAGCAAAAAGAAAACAACATGAATGTTCTTTTTAACACTTTTTTCGCGCGTTCGTGCCTACGACGCGTTCATCAAAAGCGCTCAAAATGCACAGCGGATGTTGAAAAAGAAAATAATACCAAATCAGTTTTACAGAAATACACCACACGACGTTACAAATAGGCATAAAGATATAATAATGAACGACAAGAACGTAACGAAAATGCCAGCGCTTTCAGTAGCCACAATGATCTTGGCGACGATCACTTTATATTCTGACTGCTTAAATGCCACAAGTTCGCAAGAACTGAAGACTCATAGACGACGCGATCACAACGACATGGTTCTGGTTGTCTATGCGCACGACCAGCAGCGCGATCAGTGCGACCAACGTAGCGTCGAGTCGTCGCCCCAAGCAATAATATCTTGGTTGACTCGCTGACTTGCTGGCTGGCTGGCTGACAGGCGAACTGAATGTTGGTGGTGGCTAAGCGCTAAGCAACAGGGCATACCGCGAACGAGTTTAACATATGACAACACAATACAATGCGAACAACTGCTAGAACTAGCAACAATGACAGCAATGACATGACAGGCAAAAAAGAATAGACGATAAGAACACCGCGCGGCGACAAAAACAATTCAAGCAATGCTGATATGTGTTCGGAGTAAAGGCAAAAAAAAACAAAAAAATACGAATAATATGAAAAATACTAATATATATGTATAAATGAATAAAAAAAGACAAAGGCTGATAATAAACGAATATGACAAAGTGAAGAATAAAGTGGCTGTTGAAACCGAAAACGCTTTGCTTACGTAGCGCAACAGCTCGGTATATATAATACATACATAGAGAATTACATATATGTATATAAAAAATGATCGAAAGCCATCTGAATAGTCTATGAGATCAATAATAAGGCCGTATGTGTATAAATTGTTCAAAGTAGAAATATTCGTGGAGAGATCTCTTAGTTAGTATAGAATCTGAAGAGTTTATGAGATCAATACTAAGGCTGTACGAGTAAAAATTGTTCAAAGTAGAAATATTCGTGTAGATATCTCTTATTCGTGGAGAGATCTCTTAGTTACTCCCGGATGTATAAATTGTATGGATATATTGAAAGAAAAATGTCAGAAGGACTACTTACGTCGATCATAAGGGTGATCAATAAATATACCTATTTTGAAATACTTGGAAAAAGTATCACGATTAGGCAAAGATTAGCAGACCAATTTAGACTTTCGCTTTTTACTTGGATACTAAGCTTGGTAATTGTTATATTTTACCTCATAAAGCGGTAATATGATTTATAAGGAATCCTTTGATCATGCCGGTGATCAATTAGAGAAATGATTTATATATACTTGGAAAAATTATCTAGATATACCAAGGTATCAATTAGCAGATCAATTTAGAATTTTTTTTGTCACTTGTATACTAAGTTTGGTAACGAGACTCGGGAATAGGAATATCCGTAGCTTCTTGAATAAATTTCCTATCAAAAGACTAAGTATTGTATTGAGATAGGTGAGAGAAAAACCAAAACGTTATATTCTACGTTAGGGACCATCAGGTGTCACTGTCATAACGCTATCATAATAAAAAACTGTAATTAAATACTGGTATATCTCAACTTTCTTGCCACAAAAAGATAGCAAAACAAGTAGAAAAGTGATCATTAAAGAATCCTGTGTTTCTCTATCATGACAATATCGTTTCCCCTAGTTAAAATGAAGCAAGTCAAAAAAGCCAAAAAATAATAAAAATGAGGATCACCGATCTATATACATACATGATCATTTGAGAGATCTCAAAAAACAAATATGCTGAGAGATCTTAATAAAAATACTATTGTCTAACGCAGTACAAGTTTACAAGTCGATCATAAAACCAAAATTTATGAACTAATATCAAAACTATTTGGTGAACTGATTTCAAGAATAGTGCGAAGATATCATAAACAAAAAAATTGCTAATAAACTTATATAGCCTAATTCAATCACTGACCGATTTCACGCAGGCAAGCTACAAACTTAATGATCTATAAAATTTACAATTCGAGAAATCAACTCGAACAACGAAATGCTCAGCAAAGCAAACTAAGCAAACAACAAACCAATCAGTCGAAACGATGTTGTTTAAGTACAACGATCCAGCCACTGTGAGCAATGCAAGGCGACCAGCAAAATGTATGAATTTTAACGAATGCAAATTGAAAGCCACATATACACTGAAAAAATAAAACGAAATAAGAATAAACGCTCTGGTACATTGAAAAATAAAGTAGCTAACGCAAAGAATAGCACCGCAAAAATACCAAAGCGAACGTAATCACAAATCAAATGGCAAAAAAAAAAAAACAAAAAACAACATTGACCAACGGAGGAGCGAGTGAACGATCGCGTCCAACGGTCGAAAGATCGAACGATCCACCAACCAAGCAACCAACCTACAATTATGCATAACAATATAATAAAAATTCAAAACATACATACACACACGCAGCTATGTATGTTACGAAAAAGGCATGAAATAATTGAAGTGATCGTCGCCACACGCTCGCCCCCACTCGCACTCACCCAATCAACTGCTCGATTACTCAGCAAAAAATCAGAAACACCACAGCAGCAGCAGCTGCGCAACGCGAACGCGAACGCCTTCTGAGCAAATGTGTGAACCAACGACGCGTCGCGATGGGGTCTTAAGAAACAAGTGAGTCGCCGCGCCGATCATCAACTAAACGCCGATCGTCAATGATCGCGCGGTGCGCGCTTCTGTTGAACGCAGCGCATTGTTTTTATTTTCATTTTTTATTTAGCTAGTTGAGCGATCGATGGAGCATTTAGTTGGCGGCGGTGCATTGTCGAGCTAATGGTCGGCAGTGTTAGGAAGTGGCCCACTCGCCGCCGCCACAAATTGTTGCTATACGTGTGTACCGATTGTATGTGTGTATACAAACAAACAACTGTATTTGATTTAATGCAAACATTTATATGAATATATAAGTATCTATGGTAGATATCTACACTCATATATATATACATATGTACACGTATGTGTGTAAAGATCAGTTGTTATTATACGTTTGCACGTATGGTGCGCATACGCGGTGCACACTCATTCAACGCTACCAATCGTGTACAACCAACGTCACGTCACGTCGCGTCAGCCCCAACGTCTCTCATGCGCGGGCTCCTCTAAAAGGTGTTAATGATCATCGACCGCAACGTCATGATCGCGCTCATGACTGTCATGATCAGCACGATCACTAAAAGTGTATACATATGTACTAAAAATCGCTGCCAAAACGTCGTTGCGGCTGCCACAACAAAACCGAGTCGAAACAGAATAACAAAAACAATCTAGCATACCAACTACAAAACAAAAGAAAAAAAAAAAAGAAGAAGCAGCAAATAAATAAAAATTCAAAATAAGAAAAAAAAATATGTATTAAACAATCGTTCGACTTCGAAGACACGTTGTTACGTTTCTTTCGCTGCCGCCACCGCTTTGCATTGCGGGTAGAGACGTGCCAAGCTGTTGGCGACAACCAGACGCCAAAGTGCCTCACGGTGTTTTTATATATTTTTTGGTTTTTGTACCTATACTAGTACAATGATCGCCAACTAAACACACAGATACTCATACACTTCACTGCGCCTTTGTATGTGTTCGTTCGAGTGCCCGAGCAGATATCGGCTGGTTGTTATTCTTAGCCATTGTTGTTCTTTGACGTAGTTGGTTGTTGCTATTTTCGTGTCGAACGTTATTTTTTGCAGCGCAATTCATTGGCTCTGATCGGCGTCGTTGACTGCGGTGCAGGCGGAGGTCATGTTCTGACAGTAGACAATCTCTCGATCAATTCGCGTTCGCTTATTCAGTGTTGCGGGGTGTTTTCTCTTTTTCATATGTACACATGCTGATATTTATACTGGTTTTTGAAATGTGATTTTTTTATTTTTGTTTTTTTTTTTTGGTTGACTCTAAGTATTCCGCGGTTAGGTGCTATAATAGTTTTTTGCGGATCAGCGCATGATTGAGGTAATAGGAATATATGTGACAGAGTTGCCAGTTGGTACAGATATAATGAGTCAATAAGTGGAAAGCTTATCGGAATGATAATTGTATAGTTTCTTGAGAAAGCGTCACGAGTTTGCAAAAAAAATTTTTTTTTGTCACAAAATTTACACTACACTTCAGGGTGACTTAAAAATCGAAATTATTATCAAATATCTTATTTCTTCGATACCTGTCAAAAATATAAATATCTAAGAAGGTGGGAAGGTCTACATTGGCAACCTTAGCGGAACACATCAGAACTTGAAACACCAGCAATACAGGGCATATCACGAAGTTACTTGAGGTAGTATTGATGGTGCACAGACCAAAAAGCTTCTATTTCTAGGCAAAAGCGAACTCCGTTATACTGTAGGGGTCATCATAGGTCATCTACCCTTGAGATCATACCTTCAGAAAACTGGTAAAGTGGATTCGGCGGAATGCAGGGGGACGATGAGACGCTGGAACATTATCTTTACGAATGACCAGTCTACAGCCGGATAGGCCTGCAATCTGGCGCTCCTGCGCCTACCTTTTCAAACAACCTAACCAACCAAAAAGGTTGTGTAAAAATTTCAAGTCATTCTGTCTAGCCGTTTTCGGATTTGCGGTGCATATTCTAAAATATTATATATGTATGTACATGCCATATTTTGTATTACAAACAAAAAAATAAAATTACTTTTTGAAATGCACTAATGGATATAACCCTTCAAGGTTGAGCCTTAGATACAAAATACTCTCCTTTATTCATCAAAATTTAGACTTATTGTCATCTCATACTCAAACAAAAAATAATTCTTGCTGTAAGACCGCAGTATTCCCGAACACTCCCGAAGAGTATAGATCAAGTGAACATACTTTAAACCCTTCTTAAGAGTAAATATCTTTTCCATGATGGCGCCTTTGTTCTAATAGTCTAAATACAACACTCTATGGCAACTCTACTGCGCCAAATACACATTTTCATATTTATGCGCACATTCTAGAGTACATACATACATACATACATATTGTAGTATGTGAAAATGCTCTATGTCGATCAACAAATGTTCTAAATTCGTCTACGGGACCCACAAAGATCACCGCTGAGTTCAGACGCATGTTTTTGTTGTTTTGTTAAATTGCAACAAAGCCACAGCGCCAGCACTATTGCCAGCGGGAGCGGCGCATATGTTGCTCTCAATCGAAATTCCTTGCCATTTTTCTACGCATAAAAATAGCCACACTAACGTAGAATGGCAACAAATTGAAAATATTTAGCTATTAATGTGCTGTATATGTGTATCTGTGTGCTTGCCTATATATATATGCTTGTTAGTAGGTAGAAGTACAAGACTGGTTGGCTTGAAGTGGCAAACTAAATTGGTAAAGACAGCTAAAATATGAGTGGAAAAGAAAAAAATACAATAACAAGAAAAGTGGCAATGTAACAACATGTTAAGCGGTCAGCAAAAACGACAACAGCAATACACTAACACACACATACTCAAGCGCTGTTCTGTCTTATGCATGTCAATTGTAGTGGGTTGGCGTGAATTAAGTCGATTCTTGCAGCTAATACACATACATATTACATATATACATACATATGCACATACAAACATACATACATACATTGACTATGTGTGCGGTTGCTTAAGAAATTCTAGTTTTGCGAGTTTTGTTGCGCTGTTGGTAGGTATTTAGATACATTTGTAAGTGCAGATATTGTATTTCAATAACCGACAACATTATGGAGACATATTGACTGTTAATAACAGTATACGTACACACATACACACTGAGCCATACACAACCCATTGAATTAATTTTGTAGCCAGTTGCCGTCAGCGTCACGGCTTTAACTCCACATTTTTCTAATTTTTTTTTCTATAAAAAATG